GGCCCTCACCTCACCTCAGTGGCACTGGTGGTGTTGAGGCCCTCACCTCACCTCAGTGGCACTGGTGGTGATGAGGCCCTCACCTCACCTCAGTGACACTGGTGGTGTTGAAACCCTCACCTCACCTCAGTGGCACTGGTGGTGTTGAGGCCCTCACCTCACCTCAGTGGCACTGGTGGTGTTGAGGCCCTCACCTCACCTCAGTGGCACTGGTGGTGTTGAGGCCCTCACCTCACCTCAGTGGCACTGGTGGTGTTGAGGCCCTCACCTCACCTCAGTGGCACTGGTGGTGTTGAGGCCCTCACCTCACCTCAGTGGCACTGGTGGTGTTGAGGCCCTCACCTCAGTGACACTGGTGGTGTTGAGGCCCTCACCTCAGTGGCACTGGTGGTGTTGAGGCCCTCACCTCAGTGACACTGGTGGTGTTGAGGCCCTCACCTCAGTGACACTGGTGGTGTTGAGGCCCTCACCTCTGTGGCACTGGTGGTGTTGAGGCCCTCACTTCAGTGACACTGGTGGTGTTGAGGCCCCCACCTCAGTGGCACTGGTGGTGTTGAGGCCCTCACCTCAGTGACACTGGTGATTTACGACCCCGTCAACGGCCGTCTTCTCGTTTAATGGTGTCGGTTATTGCTCAATTGGCCTCGAGTGTGTTATCGTCCTCGTGCTGGCACTGTTATCAGTCTGCATGACTGGTGCCAATGATGCGTGTCACTCTCTTATCTCCCCTTTATGGTGCCATGACCTTTCTCTCCCTTGTCTCTCACTAGGTAAGTAATATCTCGCTTCTCAGGCCTACTGCATATTACACCCTCCATCTTGCAGCATCCCCCCTCCATCTTGCAGCATCCCCCTCCACTCTGCATCTTGCAACATCTTTTCAGCTCACGTTTTGTTTATATATATTCGAGATAAAGTAAAACAATTGCTCTGTGCACGTCACAAACTTCTTTCCTCTCCAGGAGTTAGAGAGAGAGAGAGAGAGAGAGAGAGAGAGAGAGAGAGAGAGAGAGAGGGAGAGGGAGAGGGAGGGGAGGGAAATAAGTGAACATTGTTATCCATATGAACTAAGAACACAGACTAGGTCTTCAGAGCTGGTGGTCTTTAACACGCGGGGTCTCGTTGATGGGGCGTCTGTGTCATTGTCTGTGAGGACGTTGGTCTGTCTGTGTACCGCTGCTCTCCGTAAGGACCTCATAACTAAGACCAGCGACCCAGACTGTGTGAAACATGGCGCTCTTCTCCTGTGATTAGTGCCACGAGGGGTCAGGGTCACGTGGGGTCGGGGGTCACGTGGGGTCGGGGGTCACGTGGGGTCGGGGGTCACGTGGGGTCGGGGGTCACGTGGGGTCGGGGGTCACGTGGGGTCGGGGGTCACGTGGGGTCGGGGTCACGTGGGGTCGGGGGTCACGTGGGGTCGGGGGTCACGTGGTCACTCTGTTGGGGGAACATACATAGCCACCGTCTCTCCTGATGGAGTGTTTAATAACATTGACATTGGGTGTTGCTGTGTGTGTATGTGTGTACTCGTCTGAACACCCTCCCCCCCCCCCAGGTGTGAGTGTCGGTGTACTTACCTATCTGTGTCTGTGGGTGGGAGGGAGTTCTAGCTCCTGGTGCCCCACCTTCTAGCCTTGCAGTTACGTTATAATTTAACTATCCTAATGTTCGAATCGTTGTCAAGTCTTGCCTGAAAGTTGTGGATGGAGGTGGCTTCTAGAACTTCCTCTTTTACTGCAGTTCCCTTATTGCCCAACCGTTCAGAGCGGTTATATCCTTATATTTCTTAGATTCATTCCGCCTGTGTCCTAGTGTCCTGTCAATTTAATGAGTCTGCCCTTATGTACATTATCTATTCCCCTTGTTTCTTTTACATTGTCCAAGGATGACAAATTAAAATACTTCAGTAAGGCGAAAATAGATTAAAATTGAGTACAGAAAACAATAATAAACAGCCAGTTCTCCTCTTAGTAAGGACATAATATGTTATTGACGAGTTAATGATCAGTAACATGAAGCGAAATAAGATCATATGATCATTAGGATCAAGGAAACAGCAGAAGGCCTATTGACCCGTAGAAGGCAGCTCCTATTTATATCCACTCAAACTCATCTATGTCTGTCTAACTTTCGCTTTTAATGATCAAAGGATCTAACGTCAGTGGGTATGTGGGCCTGCGGGACCGCTCCAAGCAACAGCCTATTGGATCAATTTATCACAAGTCAAGCCTGGCCCGGCCCCAGGGCCGGGCACGGGGAGTAGAAAAACTCCCGAAACCCTCTCCAGGTATGCTCCAGGTATGTTACCCAGTAATATGGTCCATAAATCAAAAACCATGTTTCCAAACCAGTATTTACTCAGGCCTTTCCTGAGTCCAAACTTCTCAAAGTGATATCCATTGTTTTGTGTTTTATTTTGTATTTTTATTATTATAAAGTTTATTATACAAGGATGCGGTTACACAACTGATTGGTTACAAACTCCCCAAGCCCGGCCCGAGGCCAGGCTGTGAATATTAAGGCTACCTTGGAAGGACTGATCAACCAGGGAGGTGCTTAGGGTCACAGCCTGATACCTTTGGTTGTTCTCTCTTGATGGGGGGTTCTGGGAGTTCTTCTACTCCCCACCTCTGCTCTTCAACGCCCGGCCCGAGGCCAGGCTTGACTTGTGAGAGTTTGGTCCACCAGGCTGTTGCTTGGAGCGGCCCGCAGGCGCATGAGCTGAAACTTATCCTCGTTGAATACCATATTATTTTCTGTAGCCCATAGAAAGACCTGATCTACATCTGATTGGAGGTTTGCCGTGTCCTCTATGTTGCCAACTCTCATGAAAATCCTAGTGTCATCTGCAAAGGATGATACAGTGCTATAGGTTGTGTTCTGGTCTATGTCCGATATGAGGATGAGAAAAAGTACTGGAGCAAGCACAGTACCCTGGGGGACTGAGCTCTTCACGGTTGATGGGCTGGATTTTATTTTGTTGACTATTACACATTGGGTTCTGTCAGTCAGGAAATTGTAGATCCATCTGCCTACAATAACACCATGGTCACATTTATCAAAAGCTTTTGCGAAATCTGTGTAAATTACATCAGCGTTTTGTTTGTCTTCCATAGCATCTAATGCCATATCATAGTGGTCCAGCAACTGCGACAGGCAAGAGCGCCCTGTTCTGAAACCATGTTGTCCGGGGTTATGGAGATGCTGTGATTCCATGTATTTTGTGATCTTACTTCTCAGCACTCTCTCAAAAATTTTTATGATGTGCGATGTTAGTGCTATCGGTCTGTAATTTTTTGCCTCTGCCTTATTTCCTCCTTTATGGAGTGGTGCTATCTCTGCTGTTTTTAGTATGTCAGGGATAACGCCAGTATCTAGGCTTTGTCTCCACAGAATGTGAAGGGCCTGCGATAGTGGTTTTTTACAGTTCTTGATGAATATGGAGTTCCAAGAATCCGGGCCTGGTGCAGAGTGCATAGGCATACTGTTTATGGCTTCTTCAAAATCTAGTGGGGATAGGGCGACGTCTGATATTACTGTATTAGCCAGGTGCTGGTTTTCCAAGCAGTGCTCTATTTTCATTAGTTGGTCTTTAAACTGCTGAGGGTTTGCCTCCGGTGACTTATATACAAGGACAACAACTACATTTAGGATCTCTATTTTGACTATCAGCACTTCCACCATATCATTTGAGGTGTTTAGCAGCTCAGTACAGATGAGTGTGTCTTTGATGTAGAGGCTGACCCACCCTGAAGCCGGTGTTTCCTATCACATCTGAAGAGATTGTATTCTGGGATCCATATTTCACCATCAAGGTAGTCCTTTGTGTGAGTTTCCGTTAGGGCTGCAAACACTTTTGCCTCATGAAGGAGACCATCTATAAAATGAACTTTGTTGGATTTGCGTGTTTTTATACCCTGGATGTTGGCAAATATAAATGATGTTATCGTGTTAGTGGAAGTGCTGGATGCTTTAATTGGTGTTAATATCTGAGGCTCTGGTAAGGAGGCCACTGTGTTTGCGTCCTCTCTAGCATTTGACCGAGTTGGTGGTAGAGTCTGGTCATTTTTAGCCATTCTTCTCCTCCTCCTCTTGCTAAAAAATTATCCCGGTTGATGGAGTAGTGGCTGTTTTCATAGTGGTAGTCTGTCGGTTTTATTCGCCTGGTACCTCTTATATGAAAAGCTGGGCATTCAGCATTGAAGCACTCTTTCCTGTCCAAAGAGTTCTTGCAAATTTCTGGGTGAAAGAATTCACAGCTTTTGGTAAATGTGCCCGGTTGGTCCGGTACTCCTTGGAGGAAACTATCTAGTATGAACAACCGCGGACCTCTGATGTTTATACAGTGTTCTCTGATTGTGCCTATGGCACCCCTGCTCTTCACTGGTTCTATTCTGCATTTACTTCCATATCGTTCACTCCAGTATGTTGTTATTTTACTGTGTAGATTTGGTACTTGGCCCTCCAGTATCTTCCACGTGTATATCTCTCTCTTCTCCTTTCTAGTGAGTACATTTGGACTCACTAGAAAGCTCCCACACAAAGCTCTACATTTGTAAAGCTGTGAGACGATCCCAATAATTTAGGTGCTTTATCTCGTCTATGCGTGCCGTATATGTTCTCTGTATTCCCTCTATTTCAGCAATCTCTCCTGCTCTGAAGGGGGAAGTGAGTACTGAGCAGTACTCGAGACGGGACAACACAAGTGACTTGAAGAGTACAACCATTGTGATGGGATCCCTGGATTTCAAAGTTCCCGTAATCCATCCTATCATTTTTCTGGCTGACGCAATATTTGCTTGGTTATGCTCCTTAAACGTTAGGTCGTCAGACATCATTATTCCCAAATCCTTGACATACTGTTTTCCTACTATGGGCACATTTGATTGTGTTTTGTACCCTGTATTATGTTTAAGATTCTCATTTTTACCGTACCTGAGTACCTGGAAATTATCGAGGGGAGGGGGAGAGTGTGGCGGCGAGGAGAGTGTGTGGATGTGTTACGGCGAGGGGGAGAGTGTGGCAGCGAGGGAGAGTGTGTGGCGGCGAGGGGAAGAAAGTGGCGGCGAGGGGAAGAGTGTGGCGGCGAGGGGAAGAGTGTGGCGGCGAGGGGAAGAGTGTGGCGGCGAGGGGAAGAGTGTGGCAGCGAGGGGAGTGTGGCGGCGAGGGGTAGAAAGTGGCGGCGAGAGGAAGAGTGTGGCGGCGAGGGAGAGAGTGTGGCGGCGAGGGGAAGAAAGTGGCGGCGAGGGGAAGAAAGTGGCGGCGAGGGGAAGAGTGTGGCGGCGAGGGGAAGAGTGGCGGCGAGGGGAGAGTGTGGCGGTGAGGGGAAGAAAGTGGCGGCGAGGGGAAGAGTGTGGCGGCGAGGGGAAGAGTGTGGCGGCGAGGGGAGAGTGTGGCGGCGTGGGAAAGAAAGTGGCGGCGAGGGGAAGAGTGTGGCGGCGAGGGGAAGAATGTGGCGGTGAGGGGAGAGTGTGGCGGCGAGGGGGAGAGTGTGGCGGCGAGGGGGAGAGTGTGGCGGCGAGGGGAAGAGTGTGGCGGCGAGGGGGAGAGTGTGGCGGCGAGGGGAAGAGTGTGGCGGCGAGGGGGAGAGTGTGGCGGCGAGGGAGAGAGTGTTGCGGCGAGGGAAAGAGTGTGGCGGTGAGGGGAGAGTGTGGCGGCGAGGGGAGAGTGTGGCGGCGAGGGAGAGTGTGGCGGCGAGGGGAGAGGGTGGCGGCGAGGGGAGAGTGTGGCGGCGAGGGGAAGAAAGTGGCGGCGAGGGGAGAGTGTGGCGGCGAGGGTAAGAGTGTGGCGGCGAGGGTAAGAGTGTGTCGGCGAGGGGGAAAGTGTGGCGGCGAGGGGAAGAGTGTGGCGGCGAGGGGAAGAGTGTGGCGGCGAGGGGAAGAGTGTGGCGGCGAGGGGAAGAGTGTGGCGGCGAGGGGAAGAGTGTGGCGGCGAGGGGAAGAGTGTGGCGGCGAGGGAAGAGTGTGGCGGCGAGGGGGAGAGTGTGGCGGCGAGGGAAAGAAAGTGGCAGCGAGAGGAAGAGTGTGGCTGCGAGGGGAAGAGTGTGGTGGCGAGGGGAAGAGTGTGGCGGCGAGGGGAAGAATGTGGCGGCGAGGGGAGAGTGTGGCCGCGAGGGGGAGAGTGTGGCGGCGAGGGGAAGAGTGTGGCGGCGAGGGGAAGAGTGTGGCGGCGAGGGGAGAGTGTGGCGGCGAGGGGAAGAAAGTGGCGGCGAGGGGGGAGAGTGTGGCGGCGATGGGAAGAAAGTGGCGGCGAGGGGGAGAGAGTGTGGCGGCGAGGGGGGAAGAGTGTGACGGCGAGGGGGGAGAGTGTGGCGGCGAGGGGGGGAGTGTGGCGGCGAAGGGGAGAGTGTGTGGCGGCGAGGGGAGAGTGTGGCGGCGAAGGGGAGAGTGTGACGGCGAGGGGGGAGAGTGTGACGGCGAGGGGAGAGTGTGGCGGCGAGGGGGAGAGTGTGGCGGCGAAGGGGAGAGTGTGGCGGCGAGGGGAGAGTGTGGCGGCGAAGGGGAGAGTGTGACGGCGAGGGGGGAGAGTGTGGCGGCGAGGGGGGAGAGTGTGGCGGCGAGGGGGGAAGAGTGTGACGGCGAGGGGGGAGAGTGTGGCGGCGAGGGGGGGAGTGTGTGGCGGCGAGGGGAGAGTGTGGCGGCGAAGGGGAGTGTGACGGCGAGGGGGGAGAGTGTGGCGGCGAGGGGGGAGAGTGTGGCGGCGAGGGGAAGAGTGTGGTGGCGGGGGGGTGTGGCGTCGAGGGGGGGAGAGTGTGGCGGCGAGGGAGAGAGTGTGGCGGCGAGGGGGAGAGTGTGGCGGCGAGGGGGGGAGTGTGGCGGGGAGGGGGGGGGAGTGTGGCGGCGAGGGGAGAGAGTGTGGCGGTGAGGGGAGAGAGTGTGGCGCCGAGGGGGGGGAAGTGTGGCGGCGAGGGGAGAGAGTGTGGCGGCGAGGGGAGAGAGTGTGGCGGCGAGGGGGGGAGTGTGGCGGCAAGGGGAAGAGAGTGTGGCGGCGAGGGGGGGGGAAGTGTGGCGGCGAGGGGGGGTAGGGGAGTGTGGCGGCCGGGGGGGGGGGAGAGTGTGGAGGGGCAACATAATGTTCACAATTGGGATGCAACCATCTATCTTGGGCTTTAATTAATATAGCTGGCAGCCGACCCTTGACGCTCGCTCTATCCCTCACCACTCCTTCTCCCCTCCTTCATCCCTCTTCCCCATATCCCTATTATGTCCTTATCCCTTCCCTATCCCTTCCCTATCCCTCCCTCCTCCCGGCCCCAGGCCCCCTCCTCCGTTGGTAACAATGTAGAATCACATACGCTGACGATGTCACCCAAATAATATGCCAACCGGGACCATCAAAGCCGCTACTAGCCGACAAGACCAAGGCGGCAATTGAATCCATAAACAACTTTGAGAAACAATGGAAAATCAGCACAAACAAAAGTTCCAGGTAATATACATTGCAAAAAGAAAGCCAGACCCCATTATCCTTGACAACCGCCCGATCCAATATGCGGAGGTAGGCAGAATACTGGGACTCATGATCAATAGAGCAGGGATAAAAATTCATGTAAGGGACCGACTAAACAAAGCTAAAGCAGCCTCAGGGAAACTGAGGAAATTCCGAGGCCTCAGCACGAACATTCAGATCCACCTATATAAGGCTCTTGTTCGGCCGTGTTACGAACATTCAGATCCACCTATATAAGGCTCTAGTTCGGCCGTGTTACGGCCCTATTGGGTCGCAACTGGGTTCTTTCTCTGATGTTATTAGAGTTTGGGTATCTTGCCCCAAGTTAGTAGTGGCTTTCAAGGGGTGTGTTCCGTAACGCAAGTAAATTAAAGGGGAAGGGATACAAATACGCTAAATTAAATATATATATTACCACCACCAATAAATAAATATATAAACTGTCACACGGGGGGTATAAACACTATAACATACAAAATGGTCTTCCCCTGAAGACACAGAATGCTCCACGGTGCTCAACGATGCTTAGCCCTGGTTCTCTTCTTGTGGCCTCACGATGAATCCTTCGATTCTCTAGGCGAGTCTACCCCTGGCCACAGGCCAGCCAAATCACAGTCCCACTGGGTGCACCGTCGTGGAGGCCTTCAACCACAAATCCAGCCTGTAGCTGGCAGGTTCCAATCAGCTCTGCTGCGTAGGCCACTCCACGACCAATACTAGGGTTGCGAGCCCTAGACAGGAGCCTCGTGTGATTCCGCTGATCACTCTCCTCTCTCAACACCCCAGTGACTAGTCTTCTCCACCAGTCAGCCCCGGGTACGACAATTCCTGGTTCTGCCACGTCACAGGCAGGCTAACAACAGTGTTCATCCGGGGGGTGACTCACAGCTTCTGCAGCAAACACGTGGAGATACTATGGCTGCCTTGGGTAGACTGATCCACCGTCCGATACAGCAGTCCCAGGTCGACTCTGTAACCAGACACGTCATTAGTACTAGGAAAACTCAAGGGGACTTCACTCACAGGCTTAGACACAAACGTCCACCTATCCACTCCATAGATGGCGTTGCTGTCTAAGCGTCACCTCACCAGAGGTCAGCAGCGGCTATGTTACGAGCTGATTAAGACGGGAATCCAGCCCCTGTGGCCGGTATATCTCGTCCTCACTAGATGGGGTCGTCCATTTGGAGGGGTTTCGGGAGCTGACCCACAGATGGCGTAACAGTAACAGGCCGCATCTAGAATATCCCCCAGTACCACTACACACCTTAAAGAAAACTAACATGCAGAAACTGCAAGCAGTGCAAAATACAGCACTAAGGAGAGCAGCAAAACACCGTCCACCATATGATCAGACAATCCAAGAGCTCCATGAGCTCCTGAACATGCAACTACTAAACATCAGACTGCAGCACCAAGCCATCAGGGTGTGGAACACCATCAAATGTTAGAGAACCCAATGTTAGAAAGATTGCTCCAAGATGAGACGCCCCGCTCCCACAGCTGGTGGCCCAAGTGCCTTGATTCACTAGATGAAAACCCAGCCCCACAGTACATAATTCCCAGCTGAAATACCGACCAGAAATCCCCCAAAAATGAACAAAAATTTGAGTATGTATGTGTATGTATATGTGTGTGTGTGTGTGTGTATATGTATATATATGTATATGTGTTGTTGAATATGACCGAAAGGCTAAGATTAATAATTCTAACACGAATCTTCTCAATATTTCTTACGCTTTTCTTCACTGTCGAGGGTAATTGAAAAATTAACTCTCCAAAATTCATTCATTACATTTTTGGTCTGACGCCTGAAGTCGTTTCGTAAGCTTCTTACATTTTCAAAGACTAATTTACACATAACATACATCAAACTTATACTCGTTTTGGGTGAGGTGATATGGCACAAAAGTTTTGGGTGAGGTGACAGAACTCGAATCATTGGGTATGAAAACATAAGAATGAAAGTAACTGCAGATACTTGATTTTCTTAAGAAGTAACTTAATTTTTCAATTACCCTCGACAGTGAAGAAAAAGGTAAGAAATATTGAGAAGATTCGTGTTATAATTATTAATCTTACCCTTTCGGTCATATTCAACAACATATGTTTACAAGAAAGACTGCTACCAAAATGTACCAATATGTATGTATGTATGTATGTATGTATGTATGTATGTATGTATGTATGTATGTATGTATGTATGTATGTATGTACTCACCTAATTGTGCTTGCGGGGGTTGAGCTTTGGCTCTTTGGTCCCGCCTCTCAACTGTCAATCAACTGGTGTACAGATTCCTGAGCCTACTGGGCTCTATCATATCTACATTTGAAACTGTGTATGGAGTCAGCCTCCACCACATCACTTCCTAGTGCATTCCATTTATTAACTACTCTGACACTGAAATGTATGTATGTATATATGTATACTGTGCCTGGTGCAAGAGTCCCTCAGCGTCGAGTCGTGCATAAAAGGTTACAACAGCTTCTCCCCCGAATCAACCTACCCTGGCTTTGCGCCCTGGTGAGGCCACTCCAAACCAGGCCGACGTCAGAGCGCAACTCCATAATCTCCTGAGACTGATGGATGCCTACTATGTGTGTATATATATATATATATATATATATATATATATATATATATATATATATATATATATATATATATATATATATATATATATATATATATATATATATATATATATATATATATATACATGTATGTATAAATAAATCAATACATAATAATAATAATAATAATAGTAATAATAATAATAATAATAATAATAATAATAATAATAATAAATAGCCTTAAACAGAACAATATGTGTGGAAACATCAGGGAGTGTATATATGAATGCTACACAGTATTCATCTATAGACATCCATATATGGTGAAACACATGTGAAGAACCTCTCACACACTCACAGCTCCCTGACAAGAGGGAGCCAGCTTAGCTTAGCTGCCAACACCCATACATCGTGTCAGCAAGGCGGACAGCCCGCCTGCTTTCATACCTCTCACTGTATTTCCCACTTCTATACTTCCCTTCACCTATGCCTCTCCATCCTCTTTACTCCCCACCCCTAAAAAAAAAAAAGCAGCCTCTTGCTGTGCCTGTTTGCATAGTCACAGAACATGCTGAACATGTTAGACCCATGTGAGAGGGGATAGACATCAACGTCTCTCTCTGTCTCAAGTTCCTTCATCGAGCTGTCTGTATGGCGTGTATGGTCTGGCTCGAGAGACAATCATGTCCCATTTTGAATTTTTATATGTTTAGAACAACTTGTGAAAATAAAGAGTCAGTCATATTTGAGCTGGATAAAGCAGTGTTTTGGGCAGTCTTGTTCGCTACGCGCCTAGCTAATAGATCAGTGTGTTAGGTGGCAACATGGAGGTATGTTCTGGGAGGGCAGATTGACAAGCTTAGCTAGTGAACTATGCTTGACTACTAGCTATGTTGTAGATTGTAGCTAGATTGTAACTTGCTTAGCTAAATGAATTGTGGGGTTCAGTCCCTGAGCCCATTATGTGCCTCTGTAACCCTTTCCACTACCGCCCACAAGATGGGTATGGGGTGCATAATAAATGAACTAAACTAACTACTAGCCAGCCACAGGTCACGTGTGCAGTGTTATGATTGCTACACCTCCGTGTTCTCCCGTACGTACCGTAGTGTTATTTGTCTGGTGCGCCATTGATAAGTGTCACTCAAACAGCTGTTCTATGTAAACACGTCGAGCAGTGCGTCAATAAAGAATGTGGCATATTCTGGCCTGTGTGTACAGCTGTGACAGTTCTCCTTGACACGCGAGTAACGGGACTCCTGTTTTATTTACATGTTCTTACCTCAAGACATTGCTTAGTGAGCTTTGTCTTTGAAATACTCGATGGTCCCGTATTGTTGATTCATAGCTAGGTTCATCAATAAATATTTGCTGCTAAACCTGCCATTGACGAAATGTCTCGTATTTCCTGATCTCAGGACACCATCATGGCACTGGTCACTGTGCCTGGTGCAAGAGTCCCTCAGCGTCGAGTCGTGCATAAAAGGGTACAAGGCTTCTTGCCCGAAATTTGGCTTGTTGATTAGACAAGATTTCTCCTGCAATCTTGCAAGATTGCTCCCTGCATAGTTGTCGGACGTGAAGTGGGGAACCGATGATCCATATCAGAAGCATATATGGGAGTTGTGGAAAACAAAAACTCCTTGTAGAAGCTCCTGCTCTTTTGGCAACGCAACATGGAAGTATATTCTCTGGAATATATAATTTTGGAGGATATACTGTGTTGCTAATGCACTTCTCACCTGTTGACATCATACTCTTGTACTGTCATTGTTCCCCTGTGTTGACAACGAGCCCCGTGCAGATGGTAACGTCGAGGGCTACAGAGGTCCCTGCGGCTGTGGGCGATGCCCTTAATAACGAAAGATTCCTGACTGATCTTGTCCGGCGACCTCCGGAAATTGCTTTGGAGGGAATAGACCATCCAGGGCTCGACGCTGAGATATTTTTTTTTTGTTCAACCCCGAGAGCTTGTAAAAGTTGTTCACAAAGTTGTTCACATATATTTCGGCGCGTGCAGTTGCCGGGGTTGAGCTTCGGCTCTTTGGTCCCGCCTCTTAACCGTCAATCAACTGATGTACAGACTCTTGAGCCTACTGGGCTCTATCATATCTACATTTGAAACTGTGTATGGAGTCAGCCTCCACCACATCACTGCCTAATGCATTCCATCCATTAACTACTCTGACACTGAAAAAGTTCATTCTAACGTCTCTGTGGCTCTTGTGTGTGTGTAAGTATGTGTGCGTGCGTGCGTGCGTGTGTGGCTGACTGGTGCACGCGTGTGTGTACACTCAGGTGCTGACGTAGACTCTGTTGCTTCTCTTTGTGGGGTCATGTTTTTTTTCATGGCGCGTCTATGGTCATTTGATCTTGATATTGATTATTGATCGCTTTTTGGCGTTTTTTTTTGTTTTTGGTGGGGGGGGGGGGTTGTAAAGAGGAAGGAGAGGCATAGGTGAAGGGAAGTTTAGAAGTGGGAAGTACATTGAGAGGTATGAAAGCAGGCGGGCTGTCCGCCTTGCTGACACGTAGGTTTTAGCAGATAAACTAAGCTGGATCTCTCTTGTCAGGGAGCTGTGAGTGTGTGAGAGGTTCTTCACATGTGTTTCACCATATATGGATGTCCGTAGATGAATATTGTGTAGCATTCATATATACACACTCCGATGCTTCCACACATGTTGTTCTGTTTAAGGCTCTTTATTTTATTATTATAAAATATTATATTATACATACTCAATTTTTCCAATTATTAGGGGAAGGATTTCTGGTCAGTATTTCATCTGGGAATTATGTACTGTGGGTCAAATCCAGGGATCCCATCACAATGGTTGTACTCTTCAAGTCACTTGTGTTGTCCCGTCTTGAGTACTGCTCAGTACTCACTTCCCCCTTCAGAGCAGGAGAGATTGCTGAAATAGAGGGAATACAGAGAACATATACGGCACGCATAGATGCAATAAACCACCTAAATTATTGGGATCGTCTCAAAGCCCTCCAAATGTACTCACTAGAAAGAAGACGAGAGAGATATCAAATAATATACACCTGGAAGATACTGGAGGGCCAAGTACCAAATCTACACAGTAAAATAACAACGTACTGGAGTGAACGATATGGAAGAAAATACAGAATAGAACCAGTGAAGAGCAGAGGTGCCATAGGCACAATCAGAGAACACTGTATACACATCAGAGGTCCGCGGTTGTTCAATGTCCTTCCAGCAAGCATAAGAAATATTGCCGGAACAACCGTGGACATCTTCAAGAGGAAACTAGATTTATTCCTCCAAGGAGTGCCATACCAACCGGGCTGTGGTGGATATTTGGGCCTGCGGGCCGCTCCAAGCAACAGCCTAGTGGACCAAACTCTCACAAGTCAAGCCTTGCCTCGGGCCGGGCTTGGGGAGTAGAAGAACCAGAACCCCATCAACCAGGTATCAACCAGGTAACTGTCAGGAAATATTGGTACCCTGTACGGGTGGTCAAGTGGAATGTACTGAAAGTTGTTGTTGTGGGTGTAGTATATTATGTTGGGGCAGTGCCCAACATGGCCGGGTGGGGCGTGTGTGGCTCGAGCTGTTATCGTAGTGGGGAATAGATTGAAACCATTCTGGAGGAGGGGGGGGTGATGTCATGTATTAAAGGTGGGGGTGGGGGTGTATTAAAGGAGGGGGTGTAACAAAGGTGAGGGGGTGATCGGGTGCAGTGGGGAAGGTGATGGGGGAGTAGTAGGGGTCAGGGTGATGGGGGAGTAGTAGGGGTCAGGGTGATGGGGGAGTAGTAGGGGTCAGGGTGATGGGGGAGTAGTAGGGGTCAGGGTGATGGGGGAGTAGTAGGGGTCAGGGTGATGGGGGAGTAGTAGGGGTCAGGGTGATCGGGAGTAGTAGGGGTCGGGGTGATGGGGAGTAACAGAGGGGGGGGAGGTTACTGGGAGGGAGATTTCCTGACCCTGCATTCATTACAGGAGGATTGTCTTCTCAACCCTCTCTTTACTACCATCCCTCGCGTCCCTCTGCACTCCCCATTCTCTCCATCCCATCCCTCTCCATCCCATCTCTTTTCCGTCTTCTGGGATAACTTAACCCATTATATTCACAATTTCTCTTTTCTTGTTTTTCATTTTCTCACTTTTATATATTTTTATTTGCAAATTCCTATTTTTACTGACATTTACTGTGAATACATAGAAGAAACGTATGAGTGTTTTGCGCATACCTGGAGCATACCTGTAGAGGATCTCGAGAGTGCATCTACTCCCCGAGCTCGGCCCGAGGCCAGGCTCGACTTGTGATAACTTGGTCCAACAGGCTGTTGCTTGGAGCGGCCCGCCGGCCCACATATCCACTACGGCCTGGTTGGTCCGGCACTTCTTGAAAGAACTTTTTAAGTGTCTCTTGAAGACATCCACCTTTGTTCCAGCAATATTAAGGACCTGCCCAAAATGCTACGCGTGCTAGTGACTGTACAGGAATGTTAGAACTCTTGTGTATATAAATAAAATAAATTAATAATTCTAGTACGATAATTTTGGGGCTATGTAACGCATACGATCAAAGAGAGACGTTCTTTGTTGTCTGCACATACACTCAAGCTGACGGGTGTTGATGGTCTCCTGTTGCACTCACAGGACAGGGGGGGGGGGTGTCACGCAGACAGACACAGTGAGAGGAGAGAGATGAAGAGAATTCGGAGGAGGTAGATAAGGGCTACTGTGGGCTTCTAATAGTACGGATAACTCGTCCAAATGTCGAGAGAGAGGGGCGGGGGGGAGGGGTAGGTATAAATAGGTAGGTAGATGGGTGGGTAGGTTTGGGTGGCTGGGGGGGGGGGTAGGAGACAGAGTCAGACAACCAGTCAGCAGGCCAGACTAACAGTGTACAGTAAGTAGTTACGTGGATTTATTCCGTGAGTCACAAGGCTGTTCAGTATTCCCGGGAAGTGTGTAGATACACGAAGGTGTTCGTATTGTCCCCGTCGTTTTTTCTGGGCTGATACTTGGCTATGACTGAACCGTCTGTGTTTGTGGTACAGTACAGGTCACAGGGAAGGATATAGCAGGTTGTTGTGCCCGCCCTGTGTTCCCGCCTCCCAGTTCAATCATCCCCCACCCCCCCGCCCATCTCAATCTGCATCATCAACTCGCCTCTTCCACCCCCTCCCACTTACGGCAAAGCCAAACCCTCCCCCCCTCTCGCTCTGGGCAGGTCAAACGCCGCCATAGTTCCCCACAGCACTATAGCCCGCCTGAACGCTGCTTACAGCCCGATAATTGAATTTTTTATTAAATTTGGCGGTTTCATTGTGTGGGCCCGCGGGCAGGAGCGGTTGGGGGGGGGGGCGGGGGTGAAACCTGATATTGGCGCGCGTGTGGCGGTTAATGACTTGCAATTATCTAATATTCTCTCGCTAGGCTATACTTTACATTGCTTTTCATATTGGAGGGGAGGGGGGGGGGGTGTTAGGGGGGAGGGAGGGGGTTAATGGGTGTGGGGGATCAGGAGGTAGATGGTTTACATGGTACTAACTAGTGCTCATTGTATTCGTGTGGACCATTTTTTATGTTGCGGCACCCGGCTGGTCGCTTGCGGCACCCGGCTGGTCGCTTGCGGCACCCGGCTGGTCGCTTGCGCCACCCGGCTGGTCGCTTGCGGCACCCGGCTGGTCGCTTGCGGCACCCGGCTGGTCGCTTGCGGCACCCGGCTGGTCGCTTGCGGCACATGCTGGTCGCTTGCGGCACCGGCTGGTCGCTTGCGGCACCGGCTGGTCGCTTGCGGCACCGGCTGGTCGCTTGCGGCACCCGGCTGGTCGCTTGCGGCACCGGCTGGTCGCTTGCGGCACCCGGCTGGTCGCTTGCGGCACCCGGCTGGTCGCTTGCGGCACCCGGCTGGTCGCTTGCGGCACCCGGCTGGTCGCTTGCGGCACCCGGCTGGTCGCTTGCGGCACCCGGCTGGTCGCTTGCGGCACCCGGCTGGTCGCTTGCGGCACATGCTGGTCGCTTGCGGCACATGCTGGTCGCTTGCGGCACCGGCTGGTCGCTTGCGGCACCGGCTGGTCGCTTGCGGCACCGGCTGGTCGCTTGCGGCACCGGCTGGTCGCTTGCGGCACCCGGCTGGTCGCTTGCGGCACCCGGCTGGTCGCTTGCGGCACCCGGCTGGTCGCTTGCGGCACCCGGCTGGTCGCTTGCGGCACCCGGCTGGTCGCTTGCGGCACCGGCTGGTCGCTTGCGGCATCCGGCTGGTCGCTTGCGGCATCCGGCTGGTCGCTTGCGGCATCCGGCTGGTCGCTTGCGGCACCGGCTGGTCGCTTGCGGCACCCGGCTGGTCGCTTGCGGCACCCGGCTGGTCGCTTGCGGCACCCGGCTGGTCGCTTGCGGCACCCGGCTGGTCGCTTGCGGCACCGGCTGGTCGCTTGCGGCACCCGGCTGGTCGCTTGCGGCACCGGCTGGTCGCTTGCGGCACCCGGCTGGTCGCTTGCGGCACCGGCTGGTCGCTTGCGGCACCGGCTGGTCGCCTGCAAGCAGAGGGTGTAAGAGGGAGCGTGGCACAGTGTAAGCGCGTGCACGCTTACACTGTGCCATACACACCCTGTTCTGCACATCCTGCCATGTCCTCTGGTCTCATGTGATGTTATTTCTGGGTGCAGGTTTGGGACCAGCCCCTCTACTATTTTCCACGGGTAAATTATTATGTATCTCTCCCGCCTGCGTTCAAGAGAATTCGGGTGGAAGGAAGTGCTGTACTATTTCATCTGTATTTACATCGTGCAG